ATACACAACAGCCATAGCAGCCAGAGTTCTCAAAGTAAACGTCCTTATCGTGCCAAGTCATGCCGCAAAACTGTCTTCTTAACCAGTTCACTGCCCAGTTCTTATACCCTTAAAATACCCAATTGCTTCTCAGTGAGGTGATACAGGTATGTGCCTGCCCTGTATGTGCATTTTTGACACCGGGATGCCCCAAGTATTTTGTAGCTATTAACATTTCTCGGAGTCGTGCATTGAGATCTTTGCAACTGGGTGGGTCACTCAGCCCTCTGGCATCTTTATTAAATGGTTAATATTTTGCAGCTTTACTAGATCGAACAGGAAACACACTGCAGCAATGACAGACATAAGGTCACTGGGCCTTGGGCTATTACGATATAAGAAAGAAAATGAAAACCAGTTCTGCATAAATAACGTGTTCACCCAGAGTGCATTACCCACCCAGTGCTATTACCATGAGAATTTCAGGACCATTGCCTTCCCCAGCGGCTGCTGCACAAACGGATGTTGGTGACAATTGTTCAACGCCATTTATTTGCAGTTCCACTGATGGCGTGAAGAATGAGCTGAGCACGCACAATGTGCAGAGTGAGCGCGGCAGGGCCTGGCTGTTAAGCAGCCCCGTTGAGACTCATTGACAATGTCCTACAGGCATCTATACCTCCATCACACTCACTCAAGCTATTTACATGCACATTATATCCATGTTAAATTAAGTGTGCACTTTCTTTTCTTCCTTTTCTCCAGGCTACATGAGCTTGATTTCTGGAATTACTGCTTTAACTCCGTAAACTCCAAACAAAACCGATAAATATGTTTTTATGTGTTGAGGTTATGCAGGCTACTGTACACCAGCACTGGGCCACTCGAGGTCATTGCCAGCATGCTGGAACCAAGAGACTGCAAACAAACATTGCATCGGGGTGAGAGCGTAGCACTCAGGAGTTGGCCCTGACCAGAGATCGTATCCCATAATGCACGGCCCTCTAAGCAAGATCTGTCACTGCAGTTTTTACTGTTTATTGCCTGATGGAAATAAAATGCAGAGCCTCCGTTAAACTCTCCATCTGAAAACCGTGACGATAACACAATGTAATCTGTATATCACACACTGCTACAGTGGGAAATACAATTTTGTTTTTATTTTATTTTTACCATAACTCTCATGTCTACTACCACCTTCCTGTAATACCCTAAAAGCAGTCAGTCATTCCCAAAATTTGTAGCATGTGGTCCTTCACTCCCTCATCACTTAATGTGCAAACCTATCTAATACATTCATTATCGTGAATCAGGGATTGTGAGATTGGATTCTAGGAGAGCACTGACTGCACAATCTCCATTTTGTATCTACTTTTGCAAATGGTATGCCATGATGGATGGAATTCTCATTCCTGGGCTACCATATGTTGGCAAATGCAACATAGACCCAGTAAACCAATCTGGCAAATTTCAATGTGTAAAAACTGAATTGGGCAAGCCCTATATTTGAACCTGTAACTTTCCAAAACACCATAAAATCTGTAGATGGGGGCATCATTGTGTTTGTGGGACATCACAACATAGAGATATGTGTATTTTATTGCAGTAAATGCTAACAGTATTATGGCATTCACATTTAAAATGTCATGCAGATCTTGCAAAATAAACAACAAAGCTAATGTTAGAAGTGGTTATGGTAAAGGGGGGTTTAAACTGACACTATAGTTACCAGAAAAACTACAGCTTAATGTATTACCTTATTGTACAAGGTATACCATATACCTGCAGGATTTTTCAATGTAAACACTGCTTTTTTATAGAAAAGGCAGTGTTTCGATTGCTGCCTAGTAACACTTCTAGGTGCAAGCACTCAGATGGCCACTAGAGGTGCTTCCTATTTCAGTGCTGCACCTACGTTCAGCAGCTCCACGCTCTGCATTGATTCAATTAATCTCTATGAGAAGATGCGGATTGGCCCAGCGCGGCGTTTTGCCTCCCTAGTTGTCAGGTCCGTACTCTGTCTAATGAGAAATCCATCCTTGCATGGCCCTTTGATTGGCACGAGCCTCACCCTTCCAGTTATCAGGCATTGTTGTAAAAAGTTAGCTAATAAAAGATAATGTTATAAGGCACTTTGATTAATTAGCAGAACATCAGAAGTGCACGTTCTACTCTGACTAATGTTGTGGATCTGAATGTTGATCTTTGTTATATTCAGAGGAAGCCCAAATTGTTGTTACAAGTGCACTTGGAGAAGCGAGAATTAGACACCAGACACCTGTTGGTATTCAAAATAAGCCTCTGACGTTTTATTCATCAACTGGGTTTTATACATTAAAAAGTAAGTGCTTACGTGCAAATACTCTTAGAACAGTAATAGGAAGAGAGTACAGATAAGACATAGGGATGAATGTCATGTACATATAACAAATACGTTTCAAGGCAAGAGAGAACAAAATGATTAGAGTAGAGACATCTTAGTGGGGGCTCTCTGCTCCCGGAACTTAGACATATATGGTCTTAAGTGTTGTTTAAGCATCAAGCATTTCCTGAGTCCAAGTTAGCCAATTTTAATATATGATATCATTATATGACACCTATAAGCTTGAGCCTTGGAATCAAGATAAATTCTATCACAATCCCCTCTTTTGATCCAAGGGTCACCCAAATGTCCAAGGTATATCCAGGCCTGCTAGCCAAAGCCTGTGGGACTTTCATTTATTGCTTCACCACGGTTCCCTGGGACTGAGAGACCACCAGAATCAGCAGAGGAGAGTTCCTTCATTTGTTAGGCGAGGTAACATCATAAAACCTTTTCGAAGTCGGAGCTGGAATGTAAGTTAAGGTACGACCAATAGTAGGTTTGCTTTTACATAGAGAGGTTAGTAAACATGAAAAAAATCTAAAGGTTAGAAAAATAGCCATAATGACAAATATAGCTAACAGCAAAAAGTACAAAATCTTCTTAATTAGTAAAGTCAACCATGTTCCTAGCCCAAATGTCCAATCCCCAAAGAAGCCAGTATCCTGTTTGATATCCTGTACTAAGTCATGTAAATCTTTTATATGTTTATGGATCATAGTGCCATGGTCAGATAGGTTAAAACAGCACATACCTTCTATAGCTTCACAGCCTAAGTCATGTTTCATTAGTAAGTAGTCAATGGCTGCTCTATTCTCAAGGATTGCCTTCTTATTTGCCTGGCTGTCCATAAGTAGCTCTTCTAGGGCCTGTGAAGTGGCATTTAAACCGTTTGCAAGGGAACAGGCTACAGCATTTACTACTCGGGTATTATACAATGCTAAACCTGGGACTCCTACCAAGGTGTACGGTAGGGCAGAGTATTCGGCTTTAGATAAGAGAGTGATTTCAGGGTTACAATCTGCATTAAGGGTGTTTTTAACATCTCTCCTGTCTCTCAGCAGTTTGTGTAGCTGGGTGGTTTTAGTGATCAGGTCAGATTTGGAAAACATGGTCATGGTTAGGCGGGAGATTGCACAGGGACCTCCTGTAATGTTACCTGGGACATAAGCATAAGTAATATTTCCACAAGAGAAAGTCCATCCTTTAGGAAGATAGACATTGTAGTGGTAACTCATAACTTGGTTAGTTTTGGTACAATTCATAGTGGTGCTTAGGGCTCTACGATTCGTGGTATTTTTCCACTATGTGGGGCAAAACAGGGATTCAGTATTAGGGTCTCTTGAACAATTACATGAAAAAAGACCAACATAGTTCAGCGCCTGTTACATTAATTGTCTTCAGGGCTAGAGGAGGCTTGCCCACGAGTGGGTTGAAGACATAAGAATATAGTTGTAGAGATTTATGGGGTCTATGGGTATGTAGGTACTTCCTTAACAGTGAGATGGGCGTAGGGACAGCTATAAGACAAGATTCTATGGCGTTTTCAGTACTGAGGAGAGGGTTGAGGCAAAAGGAGGTTAAATTAAAAGCCTTTGCTATCTGCAACCATATATTTTCCTGCCATGCATTATTATTTTCTGGTCTCAAGTCAGAGTAGCATATCCGAACACAGTATAAAATGGTAAAGGATAATGCTACTCTGACTTGAGACCAGAAAATAAAGGTCCCTGGTTCGATCCCGGGTTTTGGCACCAAATTGTTGTGGATCAGAATGTTGATCTTCTAACCAACCTCTGTAATTTGCCTTAAATTCTCTCCATATATGTGGGTCTAGGGTGCCCTCTGAGGGCATGCCAGCTTTCTTAAGTAACCTCTTAACATTCTTAATTGCTCCTTGTCCTTTGTGATGCTTGACAATAGTCAAAGCCGTAAATCCCCCTTGGGTACTTTCAGAGCTACCCATCTTAAAACTTGTAAGGGTTAATTACTTCCTTACACAAGACAAACTGTACAAAAACAGTGTATTTGACACTTAGGACCGCTGCAGTGGAATTTTCCAGTTTTGTCTTCTAAACACAGATCAGGAGATCTGCCCTTGGAGGATTCTAACTCAAATTATAAAACAAATGACAAGGCAAACAATAAAAATAACTTACAACCCACAGTTATATTCCACTATCTCAAGATTCCTTTCACAAGACATAACACAACCTCCACCTGAATATAACCATAATACCACAAAAAACAAGTTCTTTAGATCAGACATTTTTAAGTAGTTCTTTACCCAGACAGACTAGTAGGACGTGGATCTGAGAGTTTTTCTTACCTTGCTGCAGCTGATTTCACTGTCAGAGGGACGTCCACCTGTACGCTAGTGTCCGAGTCTCTTGACCGTCAGATCCCGGGTTTCGGCACCAAATTGTTGTGGATCTGAATGTTGATCTTTGTTATATTCAGAGGAAGCCCAAATTTTTGTTACAAGTGCACTTGGAGAAGCGAGAATTAGACACCAGACACCTCTTGGTATTCAAAATAAGCCTCTGACGTTTTATTCATCAGCTGGGTTTGATACATTAAAAAGTAAGTGCTTACGTGCAAATACTCTTAGAACAGTAATAGGAAGAGAGTACAGATAAGACATAGGGATGAGTGTCATGTACATATAACAAATAAGTTTCAAGGCAAGAGAGAACAAAATGATTAGAGCAGAGACATCTTAGGTGGGGGCTCTCTGCTCCCGGAACTTAGACATATATGGTCTTAAGTGTTGTTTAAGCATCAAGCATTTCCTGAGTCCAAGTTAGCCAATTTTAATATAGGATATCATTATATGACACTTATAAGCTTGAGCCTTGGAATCAAGATAAATTCTATCACACTAACAAGTGTCTCAAACACCCAAAAAGTACAAAGAAAACCAACATATAAAGTGCACACAGTGGATGTGTTTATATGTTGGTTTAATTGTTGTAAGAAGTGGTGTGAAACGACATGAATGGAGCAACCGCAGAAAGGTGTGTAAATTCTGCTAGTAATTGTTGAACTAGACCAGTGATGGCGAACCTAGGGCACGCGACCATTGGTCGCCGGGGGAGGGGGCCGCTGGCTGTTTGCATCAATGCAGAGTAGGCACCTACCTGACTGCCCGAAACGGCTTTCTAGACATACAGTACTTACCACCACCAGACCCCCAGGAATGGCTGTATTCCCCCCTCCTTCACCAAAGGTAATATATATATATATATATATATATATATATATATATTTTTTTTTTTTAAATTAAATGTATGTTTACCACCTCTACATCCCCTTCCTCCCACACACAGCATACCTACATCCCCCACACAGCACACCTCCCCTCCCCCACACAGCACCCCTGCCCCCGCCACACAGTACACCTACCCCCGCCACACAGTACCCCTACCACCCCACACCTAGCACCTCTACCCCACACAGCACACCTACCCCCTCCACACACACAGCACTTCTACACCCTCCATACACACAGCACTCCTACCCCCTCCACACACACAGCACCCCTACCCCCTCCACACACACAGCACCCCTACCCCCTCCACACACACAGCACCCCTACCCCCAACACACAGCACTCCTACCACCCACAGCACCCCTCACACAGACACACACAGCACTCCACACAGAAATACATACACTGCACCCCTCAATGCCGTATGTGTGTGTATTCAGCATTTTGTATGTATAAAGCAGTTTGTATGTATTCAGCAGTCTGTATGTGTATGTATTCAGCAGTCTGTGTGTACTCAACAGTGTGTGTATTCAGTGGACTGTGTGTGTGTATTCAGCAGTCTGTGTGTGTGTGTATTCAGTGGACTGTGTGTGTATGTATTCAGTAGACTGTGTGTGTGTTCTCAGCAGTCTGTGTGTATTCAGCAGTGTGTTTGTATGTGTATTCAGCAGACTGTGTGTATGTATTCAGCAGACTGTGTATATATGTATTCAGCAGACTGTGTGTATGTATTCAGCAGACTGTGTATATATGTATTCAGCAGACTGTGTGTATGTATTCAGCAGACTGTGTATATATGTATTCAGCAGTCAGTGTGTGAATGTGTTCAGCAGTCGGTGTGTGAATGTATTGCATTTGTTGGAGATACTATTAAATATAAGCTTAATTTTATCTATTTATATCATTATTTAAAATTTGTTTAATTGAACTCTGTTGTTGTGTTCTTCTTTTAAAACAAAAGTTGTTGGGGGGCGTGGCCAACAGAGAAGACGTGTTTACACAGAGCTCTGTCCCAGATTTCAGAAAAAGCCATTTTAAACACGGAAAACAAAATCCAAAACACGCTGAGTGACAACCACCCTCACACAGAAGACACTACGGGGCAAAAAAACAGAAAACCTCGCCTTCCAGAGGCTCCAAAAATGTAGGATATCAGACTATCCTTTGAGAGGCCTACACCGCGGGGCCCAGCCAAAATGGCGTCCGACCCGCCTAGCGAGGATGAGGCCTCGGAGAACTACTAAGAGGAAGACTAAGCCCCGACCTCACAGTCGGAGGGGACCCCCTCTAAGGAGTCAGTCAGATGAGGACTCCTCACCGGCAACAAAGAGAGACATTAAAAATCTCCTGCTGGATATGCGGCGTGTGTAGAAGGCTGACCTCTTAGACACACGCACGGAAATAGGGACCCTAAAACAACAGGTCACAGAGATCGAGACAAAAGAAGTAGCCAGGGACCAGAAAGTGCAAGACACCCACAACAATCTGCAAGCATTAACAGAGCAAGTACAGAAACTTACCAAGTCGATGTTAGCAATGGAGTCCAGGCACAGAAGGAGGAATATACGCCTCCGCAGCATCCCGGAGCATAACGAAGGGGACTCAGCAGGGCCCTTCCACCGACGCTTCATGGCCTCACTGGGCATAGGAGGCAACCCAGGCTCAGAAACACTAAAATCAGCATTCCGGGTCCGCAAAGCCGCAGCTGCCCCAGCAGACGCACCAAGAGACATAATTGCCGCGACCAAAGACATTGCAATTTGGTCTGCGATTATGGCCAAATCGAGAGAGTTGGGAACCATACACTTTGAAGGTTGCGACATAAACGGGGACCTCCCTTTTGCCGTCCTCGCAGTCAAGAGACAGCTAACACCGGTGGCCCGACAGCTGAGAGAGGCGCTGATCAGATATCGGTGGGGGGTGGATGGCTCCCTACTGGTAGCACAAGGAAACAACATACTCACCCTCTCATCTCCTGAGAACAAAGAGACTTTCCTCCAAAGACTGAAATTAAACATAACAATCCCAGCAAAAGTCCAGAAGCCAGGAACAGGCACACAGGGACCCACCAGAGTTCACCCATTAAACCCACAGGCCCGACTCCTAGTTAAACCACACCACCTGTAGACACACCACACCCATAGAGGTCCTTTGAGGTTACACCACCAGTAACTAGAAAGCGAGACACACAATAGTTGCCCAACATTGCCATACTTCCCAATGTACAACGGAGGGGCAAAGCCGAGAACGAATGAGGGGTACTCCTTTTTCTACCCATAAGGCTTAGTACAGACAAAACCATACAGCGAACTAATTGTCTGCCACTAGTGCACATGTTGCCTTTTCATTGTTTCAACGTATTAGAGTTGCTATATAAACTTTATAACTTCTCATATTATGTACCAGATGTATTTTATGGGTAGAAAAAGGAGTACCCCTCATTCGTTCTCGGCTTTGCCCCTCCGTTGTACATTGGGAAGTATGGCAATAAACACCAATAAACACCAATAAAATACAAATTATAAAAAAAAAAATTAAAAAGTTGTTAATTAGTTCGGACAACTGTACGAGTTGTTTTTTCTAAACTTAAACCACAGTATTCAGGTTTAATTGCCCTGTTGGCACTTTGAGGAAACAACAGTTGGCATGTATTGTGTTTTTTTGCACTCTGGCTCAAAAAGGTTTGCCATCACTGAACTAGACATTCCATAAACTTATTCCGAGCAGAACCTCATGGTGTATGTGTAGGTCTCACAATAAAACAGGTGGTAGGAGAAGGATCGGCTAGGAGGTTTCAGCCACTTCCCGAACTGGCGAGAGCTTACTGCAGAAGCTGCAAATCCTGGGCTGCTATTTCTTTTCAGAGAAGGGTTAGGGATATCGATATACAAGATCTTTCCAATATAGGTATATCTAACAGGCGTACTGGAGGACTCGGGAACGTCTGTGATGAACGCACAGTCTATCCAAGAACCCGGGAATGTAAGAGACATTGTAATTTTTACACAGTGCACTGAGCAGACAGACTAGATGGGCCGGACTGGATCTAATCTGCTCTCAGAATCCATGTTTCTCTGCAACTTTTATTTTACTGACTGATAACATTGAATGACTGATGCAGGAATAGAGTGGTAGTGTGTACTGGTAATCAGGATTGGCATTCACCTTGAATGAGGTGCAACCACCATTTGCTTTATTGCTTCATCCTTATTTCAGCTACACCGTGTAAATGAAACATTTGCACATTTTTCTACTTGCCAAACGTCTTGTTTCGCTGTCTCACTTAAGGATTAATATCTACTGATTTAAATAATAGAATAATTCTGCATGTTCGAAAGCAATGCCTTGCCAGCACCTTCGTTCTCCTTTCAATCGCGTGGCTTTTGGAGAATGATGGAGCGTTCCTCGGGCAGATTGTCAGCAGTTGCGGGGACTCAGCTCTAGGTGATTACCGAGCGGGGATCCATCACTGTAATTTATGGCGTTTCTCAATGCGCCTGCATATTTTACTCCCAGCGACGCTGTTCACCAAGTGCCTGGACATTTTTTTTCAGTAAAAACAACCAAGACCCTGCTCCTGGCCCTCACAAGTCTCATAAATGTCTTTAGTGATGATTACGAGCATTGACTGCGCAGTTAACCCATTCACACAGAACTCGCAAATGAAAATATAAATATTATCTGGGTAGCTAAATAACTGAAATGTAGAAACCGGGAAAAAAACCAATAAATGTCTAATTATAGACCTAAATCTAATCTAAATAAAGATGTATAAATTTAAAATTTTTTTTTTTTTTTTTGCCTTCTTTTGGATCAACAGCAAAAAAACAAATGTGAGGTAGGCTGAACTTGATGGACGCAAGTCTCTTTTCAGCTATGTAAGTATGTAACTATATGTAAAAAAAATTAAAATCATACATTAAAATATCTCAGTAGAAACATGAGTTTAAAATTTCTTTCAGTTCTGCTTTATGGCTTAAAAGTACTATTTATGAGGTCTATTCCAACAATCCATGGATTTGTGAATAACCCTTATAAAGTCTACCAATTCCTTTTCTAGAATACTACCTTCTTTGAGACGTTTAATGCCTTACCTATACTAGCCATTCCATCATACATCCCCCATGCTGGGAGATATGGATATGGTATGTATATGCTAGACTGTCTGACAGCTCAGGGTATACCATGTGCAGAGCGTTGTTGGTATGCTAGATGTCCTGAGATTATTTCGCATAGCACACGTGACTTTAATAGTGCTCTTTACTGGTCAATTGTCACCAGAAGCAGGACACTAGGAATTACATGTGGGCAAGGAGCCAAAATCCTGAATATCTCTGTGAATCCAGAACTGTTATCTCTCTCATTGCTTTAGTCTCTACCACCTCTGCTGGCCAGCTGTTCCTTGCATGCACACTTCATTAGGATAACACACAAAAAATCAGTGAAAAGGACAGTGTGCAAGAGTATAATACAGGGCTCAAAATTTCCCATTGGTGATTAAAATTTAACTCTGGTGAGTAGAAATTCACAAGCGGTGAGTTCGCCATGGACCTTGCACACTTGCAATGGCGAGTAACCTTTAGGCTTGGCTTGACTAGCAACGCAGAGTTTGAAATTGTCAGCCCTGGTATAATAGAACACTCTTATTAATGTGAGAGCTTCCAGGA